TATGGAAGAGTGTCGAAAAAAATTCAGTCTTCCATTACCCGAGCCGGTGTCTGATAAATGGATTGTTGTCACCTCTATAAGGTACCCCTCCGAAGACGTAAAGGTTCGTATGAGCAGTTCTCGCTGATCTTTTATTATTAATTTTCTATTTCTTTTCTTGACTTACCCATTACCTGTGAGCCGAGGAGGCGGTTCTAATTACCCACCTGAAACCTTCTTTTGGAATGCCTCCTCTGGCAGTAGATTAGCCCGAGCATAGCTCAAACTTCAGCATTCCTTGCACGATCCACCTCGAGCTGGTCTTGTTGCCTTTCAGCTATTCGAGATTAGTGTAATTATACATTATTTGACCTACTGAAGTAATTTTTGAGTTGTTTGATTTTGTAAATATTCGAATAGTGAAGAAAAAAGTTGATTTGTTGAAGAGATTAGCATCTCTGGATGGTTGGAATCTCGTCGTTGTGGCTGATGTAAAGACACCGAAGGACTGGCATCTGGATGCACCTGGAGTTCACTTCCTTAGCCTAGACGTGCAAACGAAATTGGGTGAATTTTACCGCCAATCCTGAGATAACTAACGAATTTGACTATTTCTCTTCAAAAAGGTCAGGTGCGATTCTGTTTAGGGTTCCGAATAACAACGCTATTACCGGAAAACTCGTACACGAGGAAAAATGTCGGCTATTTATACGCAATTCAAATGGGCGCCAAGTGGATCTATGACACAGATGATGACAATAAACCATTTGGTAAGGATTCTTCATGGTGAAAACTCAATGAGACTCTACTGCCTGGTAAAGATTACATTTAAAGGCAAAGGACTTGACCAGTTTGATTTCACGGAGCGTATCAGCTCCTTGTGCTCCAGTAGAAACGATTCCGCAACTGCCACTAATATCTCGTGAGTGTTTGCAGACTTGTTGGGTTGGTGTAGCTCTAAAATTGATTTTTAATCGATTGATTGCGCAGGACCAGTCACTTTTCAGAAGCAAACTTTTCAATCCATATCGATTTTTTGGTCATCCT